GATGTGAAGGGAGCACAGCTGCCCTCAGGGCCCTCTCGCTCTCCTAGACACAGGGAGGGATTCCACGTGCACAGTAGACGGAGAACCTGTTATTGACAAGTGTTGTCTGGCAAGTTTTCACGGAAATCTTTGATCAGTTCTTAAAATACTCCTGCTAGGAAACATTCAGGACAGATAAACTATAAGGTCACTGCCCCGGAGTTCAGATAGAGGAATCCCTATGCTCCCGGTAAACATCTACTGGTGTGATTCAGTTCCTTTATCACCTGGCATTCTCCTCGAATCCCTCTTCAGAGGTGACACGTTCCTCAATTTTTGGATAGAGTTCAATTCTTGGGGGACATCCCTTTGCAAAAAGATAAAAAGCTTTGCTAACATCGGTGAAATGAAGCCCAGACACTGGGCCCCGCCAGCTTTCAGCCTGGCCGCCTGGTTTTATTCTCGCTGCCCTGTTCAGACTCACAGACATGAAGGCTCAGTGTTTCTTCCATCCCCTTGCAAAAAATTAGGGGGAAAAGGGCCCATAAAGACAAAGGTTCTTGTGTTTTAACCTAACTCTTAAAAGAAGTAGAAGCCTAATTACATCTGAACTTGGTAAGATTTTATGGGGGAATTCCTTCTAAAATAGCATTCACGTTGGCGGCAGTGGCTTTCCGAAGCTCCCGTTCAGGTTCTGTGCCACCGAGGGCACCGGTTTCCTCTCTTAGATCCGTCTTCCCAAGTCCACACGCCCCCAGACACGTACCAGAAAGGTATTCCAAACTGGTGGCAATTTCTTCAGTCAATGTGGGTAAACTTGTGGGCAGGCAAGTAGCAGGAACTTCTTTTTAATATATTTTATTGATTTTTTTACAGAGAGGAAGGGAGAGGGATAGAGAGTTAGAAACCTCGATGAGAGACATGAGATACATCGACCAGTGCCTCCTGCACACCCCCCATCGATGATGTGCCCGCAACCAAGGCACATGCCCTTGATCAGAATCGAACCTGGGACCTTTCCTTCCGCAGACCGACGCTCTATCCACTGAGCCAAACCGTTTCGGCAGCAGGAACTTCTTTACTCAGGAGTATTTCTCTCCCAACCCCAGCTCAAATGTAACTATAACAGCAATGTCCAACTTCTGTCATCTCATAGCACACATAAATTACTTACAATTCTGTGGCATACCAGAGATTATATTTTTTATAGATCTGACAAAAAAAAAATAGGCATAAATTTGATTCATTCACTCTGGATGGCTATTGTTGTGCTGGCTTTGTCATTTAAAAAATATGTATTTTTTATTGATTTTTTTACAGAGAGGAAGGGAGAGAGCAAGCTAGATGGCTTTGTCATTTTTTATTTGATAATCTAAGGGAAATAGGTCAGTGCCTCTGACTAAGTAGTCACGTACTACATGTTTTAAAAATGCTGTGGCAGCCGAAACCGATTTGGCTCAATGGATAGAGCGTCAGCCTGGGGACTGAAAGATCCCAGGTTCGATTCCGGTCAACGGCATGTACCTGGGTTGCGGACACATCCCCAGTAAGAGGTGTGAGGAAGGCAGCTGATTGATGTTTCTCTCTCATCGATGTTTCTAACTCTCTATCCTTCTCTCTTCCACTCTGTAAAAAATCAATAAAATTAATTTTTAAAAAATGCTGTGGCATTCCGGTTGAAAATTGCTGATTTATAACAAGGGGTTCTAACCTTTTAGATTTGAAGGATCCACAAATGAATGAATATCAGAAAATGCAGATCACTCTGAGGTTGACAAGTTTTATTTTGCAAATAAAGAAAACAAATACTAATACATATGGTCATGATGACTTAATAAAGCACAGCGTAACAGAAAAACAGGCAAATGGTGATCCTGCCCTCACACCACACTCAGACACTCCACACAGAAGAGAGGAATGGGGCCCAGTCAGGCTGTGGCCGGGAGAGGGACAAGCTGCCAACCATGCGGTCCTGGGTGCCTGTGGCTGCAGCCCAGGTAAAGCTGCCTGCCCATGGTCCCGAGGCTGCGGCCAGCCTGGGCGAAGCTGGCCCGAGGCCTGGGTGCCTGTGACCGGCTGGAGGAGGGAATCGTGGGTCCTGGGTGTGGGGTGAGGCAGAGGTGGTTAGCGGCACTCAGGCCAACAGGGGAGTAGTTAGGGGCAATGAGGCTGGTAGGGGAGTGATTAGGGGAAATCAGGCAGGCAGGCAGAGGAGATTAGGGGTGATCAGGCAGGCAGGCAGAGATTAGGGGCGATCAGGCAGGCAGGCAGAGGGGTTAGGGGTGATCAGGCAGGTGAGCAGTTAGGGGCCAGTATCCCAGATTGCGAGAGGCAGACATCCCTTGAAGGGTCCTGGATTGGAGAGGGTGCAGGACGGGCTGAGGGGCCCTCCCCCCCTCTCCCCCACCCCATGTACGAATTTCGTGCACCAGGCCTCTAGTCTATATATATATATATATATATATATATATATATATATATATATATATATAAAAGGCTAATATGCTAAGCATCCAACCATCTGGCCAGTCACTATGATGCACACTGACCACTAAGGGGCAGACACTCAACACAGGAGCTGCTGAGCTGCAGTGACTTGGCAGTGGCGGTTCTCAGGTGACACACACTGAAACCAGAGAAGGAGCCTTATTCCTCAAACGGCCGTGCAATTCCACCTTCGGCCGTGGGTTATGTTGTTGCTGGCGCACTGTTGACCACGAATCTGGTTTACTGCACACTTGTGTTTGCATGACAGCAACTTTGCAGAGTGCGCTCTCACACTCTGGGACCCCCCGGGGTATGCTGGAGAGCTGGTTTCAGCTGAAACTCAGTCCCCGCAGACCAGGCTGATCTCCACAGGCGAGGCCGAGGGACCCCACCTGCTGGAGGGACTGCACTCACACCACAGACTCCGAGGAGGGAGCTCGGGCGGTTGGTTCCAGGGCATGTCTGGCCCATCTTGCCCACTCCTGCCCCGACGGCCACCCTCTAATTTCCTTTTAATGTGCACAAATCCGTGCACTGGCTCACTAGCAAGTACATAATTTCAGGCCAGAGAATTGCTTTTAAATATATTTATTTTATTGATTTTTTATAGAGAGGAAGAGAGAGGGATGGATAGAGAGTTAGAAACATTAGTGAGATAGAATCATCTATCAGCTGCCTCCCACACACCCCCTACTGGGGATGTGCCCATAACCAAGGTACATGCCCTTGACTGGAATCAAACCCGGGACCCTTCAGTCTGCAGGCCGACGCTCTATCCACTGAGCCAAACAGGTTTCAGCCAGAGAATTGTTTTAAATGAAAAAGGTAGCTTATGGAATTTAGTTTATTCACAGAAAACAAAATCAACACCAGCATCTCTCTCCACTGTCCACCACCAGGAAAAACTAAATCCCTTCTCCTTTCTCTTCAATATTTTGTGAATATTTCTGTTATACCACGTGGCTTCATTATGATTCCTATTAATGTTTACCTATCAGCTAGACCACAAGTTCTTAAAGGCACAAAGACCGTCTTACCTTTTACCCACTGACAGAATGTAGCACAAAGCCTAGAACATAGTAAGCATTCTAAGAGTATTTATTCATTTGTACATAAGGAAGCCAAATGGGAAGAGAAAGTTCTCTCTCTAGATAAAACTGATTATCTTATTTGCAAACTGGTGTAACACATTAAAGCCTGAGGGGAGATTCCAGGGATGTAAATAAAGTTATAAAAACATTCTAACACCACTGGCACGTAGCAATGACTTGCAAATTTAAAGTTAAGTTGAAAGAATTAGGCAACAACATTGCTTTGGAAAACAATCACAGCTAAGAAGTTATTTTTTAGCCAAGTTGTGTTTAAACATGGTTAGTGACATTGATTTATGCATACTTTAAACAAAAATGTAAATTTCAGATGCAAAGGAGAGTGAGAATCATCAGAAGGTAGGGTAATAGCTAGTGGCAAATGAGATCCTCCGTGTTCATTTACGCAGGTGGCTTATTGGTGAGTCATGGATCCGTGATCTGAAGATTGGAAACTGAGCCGCCAGTTCTCTGAATCCAGGAAAACAACATGTCCTAATTTATGACCCTGACAAAATTTGGCTACAGTTCAGCAATGCATAAGAAATATGTCCCATAAAAAATATCTTTATGGATTTTTCTCATTACATTGACAAATGAGGAATGAAATCGTCTTATGAGGGATAGAATCACAAAAGAACTTTAATCCTTTCTAAACATGCATCTCCCAAGAAGCAAAGAACATAAAAAAGTGAAAGGATTAAAATTATAATCGTTTCTTGCCTGGCCTCTATGGCTCAGTGGATTGAGTATCGTCCCATGTGCATCATGAGGTCACCGGTTCGATTCCTGGCTGGAGCTCGTGCCCAAGTTTCAGGCTTGATCCCCAGTATGGGGCCTGCAGGAGGCAGCCAATTGATGTTTCTCTCCCTCTATCTCTAAAAACATATTATTATTGTTATTATTGTTATATTTTTTTAAAGGAAGAATCGAGGAAGATTCTGCCTTTTAAAAACTATAACAACAATAATAATAATACTAACTTTATACTCATTTCACAAAACGATGCCTTAGGAAGGGATAAAATCACAACCCAGAAATTGTGCCTAATATTCTAAATATTCTGATTAGACTTCTAGATCCCACTGTTCTTAGCATAGCTGGATACATGATAGCTATTAAATTCCTTTAATCTCCCAGTCTTCTCTCTCCTTGAACTTTTTTCTCTCCTACTGATACAGCTTAAAAATAAGACATTTTAGCCGGGACCGGTTTGGCTCAATGGATAGAGCATTGGCTTGGGGACTGAAGGGTCCCGGGTTCAATTCCGGTCAGGGGCGTGTGCCTTGGTTGCGGGCATATCCCCAGTAGGGGGTGTGCAGGAGGCAGCTGATCGATGACTCTCTCTCATCGATGTTTCTGGCTCTCTATCTCTCTCCCTTCCTCTCTGTACAAAATCAATAAAATATATTTAAAAAAAATAATAATAAAAAAATAAAAAAAAATAAGACATTTTAAACAGACTACAACTCTTAGCTTTAATCAGATTAAATTGTTTCACATATAATCAACTAGAGTTTATTACTAGATATAAATTGACTACATTAGGTATTCATCTACAGATACTCATAATACCTGGCTTTTAAGGAAAATAACCTTTTGTAGCCACAATTGGTTCTCCTGGAAAAACCATAACCAACCAAACCATGCAGTGCTCTGACAAGAGCGGTCATTCAATGGCGATCGATACACTGAGATGTGCAACATTTCGTGCTGGTCACAGACACAACGAACACAGGTAGAAATTCTGTAATTATAAGGTATAGTTTGCCCTCACATCCATGGTGAAAATGGGAATCTTTCTTTAGTTCTTTACTCCAAAGCATTCCCTTGTTGCAACATGCCCCCTTTTTCATCTGAAGTCAGTTTGTTCGTTCATTCTTGAGCACCTAAGGTACGACAGGTGGAGAGTTACAGCTGGAGACAGCAGTCACTACAACTGTACCTCAGAGCGCTGGGACAGACGTTCTTCTACTTCCTACTTACGTGACCCTGAGGCAAATCACCCTCATGGAGCCTCAGTTTCCTCTCCTGTGAAATGGACAGAAGGATAACACCTACCTCAGGAGTAGTACGAGGATACTAGAGGCCCGGTGCATGGGAATTGTGCACTGGTGGGGGATGTGGCCTGCGGGGGATCGGCTTGCTGTGGGCGCACCATTCATCCTGGTCAGCAGAGCAGCGCTCCCACTGTGGTAGTGCACTTGCCACCAAGGGGCAGCTCCTGCGTTGAATGCCTGCCCCCTGGTGGTCAGTACACATCATAGCGACTGGTTGACCGGTTGTTCTGCTGTTCCATCATTGGGCTTTCATTATATAGGCTACTACGGCAATGCATTTAGAACAGGGGTGGTAAAAAGTAAGCTCTCACTGTTAGTTTTCGTTGTATGCCAGGTGTTAGGGAAAAGCCCCAAAAGTTTAAATTCAGGATCGAATCTGAAGGTCAGACACACAGTCTTATTCAAATTCACAAGAGCTTTCATAGGAGAAACTCACACCCATAGAAAAAGCAGCTGCTCGCAGTGGTGGCCGGCCAGGAAGAACCCACCCCTCCCGGGAAAGGACCCCTTTACAGGGGGCTAAGCGTGCCACCGCAGGGCGGGGAGCCGCGCAGACCACCAGAAAGAGCGATGCACCCCTAAGTTAACGGATAACGCCAGGCTTTCATCACTCTCCATGCATCCACCAACCCCCTTCCTGGGAGCATGGCGTTGATTTTTGGGTGGCATTCTGGTTTTCTGGGTACAGAGAATGAAAGAGACCCCAACGTTTCCCAGACGCCTTTGCTGTGGGAGCCATACTGCATCCGAGTTCCCTACACCAGTTCATGGCTTCTATCAGTGCATAAGAAACGAGGTCCCTGCTCTTGAGAAACCTATGCTCTAGTAGTTAAAGTATGCAGGTAAGCAAAGCATTTCGGCTTTTAAGGAGTGTTCAAAGCAGCAGCTGTTTTTGAGTCAGAGCATAGGGGTTCTTGCTGAAGACTGCAGAATGGCATAACCTGATTTAGAGACACCTGTGACCTGGCACTTATTGTAAAAAGGGCTTTAGACCCACCCTAGTTCCTCTGAAGTCTTCTTGCACCTTGACCCTCTGCATTCTGGGGAATCCACAGAGCTACACTGAAAGAAAAATTTGTCTTGCCAGACTGTTCTATGGCTACACAATACCACCACTGCCGCCCTCACCCTTCCCCACCATGCATGTCACTTTGGCATTCAGGAACCCCCACCAACAGGGATTCTGGAAAGATGTGCCTTCTCAGGTTGAGATTGGCTAGTAAGCCAGGACAAGTGGCCTCTCTTCCCTTGCTGATTGTGGCAAAGGCCACAGTAACCAGCAGACAGACAGCACCTCAAACCCTCAGGCGGGTCCTTTTTAAGCCTCCTGGCTGGTGCCACTGAGATTCTGCTGGACCATCTCCAGGTTGTCACTGCTAACCTCCAGCACCCCCAAGGGTGTTCTCACTCCCTGACAAGAACACCAGCTTGGCCAAATAAACACTCGCTCATTTCCAGGTTTATCCCAGGACAAGAAAATGACTGCTAAGGGTCGTTCTGGAACCGTCTTTGCATTTCTGTCATCACAGAAAGCACGTGCGCAGACAAAACAGGTACTTTTTCTAGTCCTCGGCGCTTTCTTTGGACTGTGCTAGTTCTGAAGGCCTTTCCCCTCCCCTGGCCTGCCCTTCTCTACAAGAATCCTGGGTTGTTTCAGGGCTGCTTTCCTACACCTTCCAATGTTGAAGTGTCAACAGGTGTTCTGGTGGCTAAAACAGTCTGGGGTCAGAGCACCAAACCCGAGAACCTACCACAGCCCCGGCCAGAGGGCCATGTGAGGATGACAAACAGCACTTTGAGAGCAAGCCTATTGGGTGGCCAAACGAGCTCCCTCCAGAGACAGGAAGAAAGCCAGGCCAGAGAGGAGACCAGGTCGAGACGCCTAAGAATCACGTCCCCACCCCCCAGTGTTGGTACAAGCAGCTACCGCTTCTGCAGAAGGGCTGGGACTTTTATAATACACCTATTATAAAATCATACAACTCTGCAGCTAAAGAACAAAACTTACACCTCTAAAGGAGTGCTTCAAAGCTATTACTTTGGTGAACCTTCCTTCTGATTCCAGAAATAGCTTGGCCTTGCCTCCAATACACATGACAAGTTCTTTTGACTATGTTTAGCGGTGGCAAATACCAATTATTTGCAAGTGTGTGTCATTTTTAAGAAACAGCCAGGTTATTCAGAACTAAGACTCATGAGATGAGGAAATCAATACTATTTTGGTATAAAACCAAGATGTTGGTTATAGTTAAACAAGTTGGAGTTTCCTGGGCAGATCCAACAACAATCTGAGAGGTAATTTTAAAAGTGCTCGGAATAATGGCAATGTTGGTGTCTAAGGTATACGCTATCACAGTGACAACCCTGAGGAGATCATTGATGTGGATGCACAGCGGGTACTCCACATCCACAGGTTTCATATTTGCAATCAGCCATTGATTGAAAACAGTATTTTCGATCTGAGAATCTATGGGTGCAGAGGGCCAACTGTAGATCATTCTATGCCATCCTATATAATAAAAGGCCAGCAACCATAATAGCGTAATGACCAGAATGACTGATCAACCAGTCACTATGAGGTGCACTGACCACCTCTCGGTCCCTCCCCCCAGCCTGCAGGCTCCCGATAGCTAGATGGCCAATGAGAACCATGGGGAACAGGGGTGGGTGGAGGTGGGGCAGGACTGGGGAGCAGGTGAAAGGCAGACCTCTTAGTCCCTCCCCGCAGCCCAAAGGCTCCTATCGCTGGATGGTGAACGGGGAACCAGGGTAGGTGTTGGCAGCAGGGTGAGACTGGGGATTGGCAAGCAGGTGGAACGGCTGACCTCTTGGTCCCTCCTTCTGGCCCACAGGCTCTGATAGATCACCAGACGGCGAACCGGGAACTGGGGTGAATGTCAGCAGCGGGATGGGAATGGGGACTGGCAAACGGGAGGAAGATGGCCCTGATTGCAGGCTAGGCCTAGGGACCCCACCCACGCATGATTTCGTGTGCTGGACCTCTAGTTTTACATAAGGGACTTGAGTATTCGTGGGTCTTGGTATCAGTGGGGATGGGGTATTTGTGGGGATGGGATATCTGATAATGAGGGATGACATCCTGAAGTCTCATTACTCTACTTTCACAGTCATTAGGAAAAAGGTTATAGAAAACAGACACATCTACTATAAAACTCATTTCTGAGTCTCAGGCAGAAACTTTTAAAATAAAAACGAATTGTTAACCTCAGTTAACTGGTCTCCATGTCTTCAGAGTAGGGGCTAAGATAAGACTCCTAGTCCTAACACAAGACTCTCTAGTCTATTAATAATGTATATTAATACAAAAATCTAACTGTGTTATTAATGTTTACTAATACATAAAGTAACTTTTAAAGCAAGCCCATATCCACGGGTTTCATATTTGCAACCAGCCATTGACTGAAAACAGTATTTTCAATCTGAGAATCTATGGGTGGTCACATTGCACTTGAGAGTCTAGTCTGGGTCTCCTGGACACATGTCTATAATATTAATAACTAGAGGCCTGGTGCATGGAATTTGTGTACTGTTTGGGGGGCGTGGGCTGCAGGGATTGGCCTGATGTGGGAGCGCTGCTCATCCGGGTCAGCCAAGCGGCACCCCCACTGTGGGAGCGTACTGACTACCGGGGGCAGCTCCTGCGTTGAGTGTCTACCCCCTGGTGGTCACTGTGCATCATAGCGAATGGCCGACCACTCATTCTGGTTGTTCTGCTGTTCAGTTGCTGGGCTTTTATTATATAGGACAGCCCTACTTACACAGCCCTTACTACTACCCTCATTGAACTTTCTTAGCATGATATAGTAAGCTTTATAATAACTCAATATTTTGACTATTTTTACTTTACTTATATTACTTTTTTATTTCTATCTTCCATATGAGAGAACTGAGCAAGAAAGATGTTGCCCAAAACCAAACTACAAAGCTGGGATTGGAACCTTGGCAGTCTAGCTTCAACTATGCTCTGACAGTATGCTACTCCATGCAATATGCCTCTAGGAGACCAGAGAAAGCCAGATACAAATCACATAAACAGGATAAAAGACAATGGGGAGTTCATTTAAGAAGTAGAAAGAAGGGGTGAAGTGAGGCAGGCAGATGGACCCATGGAAACCAGTATGAGAACCACATAGAACAGCCACAAGAGTTCCGTGGCACTTGGGGGACTGGCAAAACGGCTTTGCCCTTGTGAGAAAAGAGGAGGCAGCTGGAAAGACCTAGGGATTATGAAGAACCAGTTTCTGGCACTGTTCTCTGTACATAACGTTCTTCCTTTATTACATAAAAATCAGACAAAGCACGATTCACAAAAACTGCAGCCTGGCGGGTGTGGCTCAGTGGTTGAGCCTAGGCCCATGCAGCATGAGGTCACCTGCTGGATTCCTAATCCGGGCACTGCAGCTTAGATCACCCGCCAGGGGGCGTGCAGGAGGCAGCCGATGGACGTGGAAGTTTCATGTTTCGCTCTCCATCGAGGTTTCTCTCTCACTCCTTCTCCCCTTTCTTTCTGAAACACACACACACAAAACATTTACAATAAATAAAACTCCATGGTACTGTGAATATGACAGCTTATACCCAGCGCACATCACTTTGTGAGCTTTGCTGGCTAGTACACAGAGGCGAGGCTCCGTAAATCAGTTAACTCGCTAACACCAGGCGGGATTAAGGGCGATGATCTCCTTGGCATCGATGCCACCGCAGGCCTAACTTCATCTCCCGGAGCAACACCCAGGCTCAACTCAGCGGAAATAACCAGGATGAAGGTCCTCTGACTTCAAGTCGGGTTGCCTCCCACTGCGGCGCCCGATTCCGCCCTCCTCCCTCCCAGTCACCACGCAGGACCAGCCACGCACCCTCCTCCCAAAGCCATGCACCCTCCTCCCATGCCACGCACCCTCCTCCCAAAGCACCCGACAAGTGTCCAGGAGACATTACCCCAGCCCCCGCTCCTAACATCTGCCAGGTAACAAGATAAAGAGGCGGCCGATGGGTGCGGCGGCAGGAGCGGCTTCCGGGCAGGCAGGGCGCCGCCCCCCGCAGTCCTCTCCCCGGGCCTCGGCCCACCAGCCAGAGGCGGCGCGGGCGGCCACACCCCCGCCGGGCCCCCGCCGAGGTGCCAGCGATTCGCGGAAGCGCGCCCGGCGGGGAGCCGCGGCGCCCGGGGCCCCGCACGCGCCGGGGGCGCCGGGGCCCGCCCAGGCCCTCCCTCCTCCCGGGCCCGCCGCCCACCTGCTCGCCGCCAACCGCCGGGGCCCCGGCGCCCAGCCAGCCCCGCCGGCCGAGGGTCCCGCGGCGGCGCCGCCCGGGGCGCGGTCACGTGAGGCGGCCCGCCCAGCCAATGGGCGGCGGTGCCAAATGGAAGCGATTGTCTGACCCCCGTGACGTCACAGGGCCGGCGGGCGCGCGCCGCCCCCCGCCCCCTCCCCCACTCTCCCAGCCCCGCCCCCAGCCGCTCTCCTCCAATCGCGAGGCGGGAGGGGCCCCGAGCGGGCGGGGCGGGGCGGGGCGGGGCGGGCGGGTGGCGGCCGGCGGGGCGGGGGCGCCAAGTGGGCGAGGACCCGCGCGCCGGGGGCGGCCCTGGGCTTTGTGGAGGGAGCGTCGGACGGTCCTCGCGGCCGCCGCCTCCTCCTCTTCCTCCTCCTTCTCTTCCTCCTCCTCATCGGGAAGGAGCGGCGCCTGCCTGCCGTGCCCGGTTCGTATTCCCCGCTCCAGCCCCGCGCCACCGCGATGGAGTCCTCCGCCCGCGCGGAGCGGTGAAGGGGGAGCGGGCGCGGGGGAGGCCGGGCGGCGGGAGCGGGTGGGGACGGGCCCGAGCGCCCGGGGGGCGCGGCCGCGGGGGGCGCGCGGGGTCCGGAGGGGGCGCCGGGGACGCCGTGGGGAAGCGCGGAAGGCGGTGCTGCCAGGAGGGGCGGCGCGGGCGGCGCCTGAGGGTCCCCCCACCCCCCTTTCCACCCCAGGGGTCCGGGTGGCTCCCCGAGAAGCCGCCGCCGGCCGCCGGGCTCGGGTCCTGAAGCCGGGCCGGTGGGCCGGGCGGAGGACGCCGTGCCCGGCCGGGGGCGCCGCGCCCGGGCTGGATGGCGGGGCTGGGCCCGGGCCCGGGGCGCGCCTCTCTCCGCCCGCGCCTGGGCGCCCACGGCCTTCGGGCTGTGGCTCCGCCGTTCCCGCGGGCGCGGTTGGTTGGTTTGGATTCCTCCTCCCCACCCCTTTCTCCTTCCGTCCTCCCTCTTCCCGCCGCCCAGCCCAGCCCCATTCAGCCGCCGCCCGAGCCCTCGCCCCTCCCCCGGCCCCCGCCGCGGCCCCCGCCGCCCGCCTCCCCCGCCCCTCCCGCCGCCGCCGCTAAGGAGCATCTCCGCTTTGCTCCCGATGGGCCGGTGCTGCTGCCGCTGCTGCTCTCCGCGCGGGCTGCGGATGTTGTCGGCGCCGTGTTGTGATGACAGGAGAATGTGTGTGTGCCCCGGGCCCAGGCGAATTGGTAGGTATATCCATCCCCTCCCGGACCAGCGCTGGGTAGCCTGGAAGGAAGGATGGGGCTGATGGTGCGTGTGGATGGATGGATGGATGGATGGATGGGTGGGTGGATGGATGGGTGGATGGATGGATGGATGGGTGGATGGCCATAGGCGGGTCTGGTGGAAGGAAGGGGTGAGAGAGAGAGGACAAAGGCTTGCCGGACCAGGACCTGCTCAGACGCCTGGGAGAGGGCAGTGCTCAGGTGATGGACAAAGGGAAGGACTCGAACAAGTGCTGGCCGGCAGCTTGGCGTCTTCCTGGGGAAGCTGGGAAAGGTGTCTTCGTTCAGGGAACGACAGATAACGGGAGCTGCGGAACGGCCAGGCGTGGTGAGAACAGGCTGGAAAAGTCGCAGCCTTTATGCAGGGTGTTCGGTCCGGTAGGATTACATAAACGGGGCTTCTGACATTTAAGGTTTAGTCACCAGGAGAGCACCTCTCCCTCCTTGTACAGCAAAGCTTTGCAAAGCCCAACGCGCGCCGGAGTGGGCGCAGTGACAGCATTTTCTCATTAGTTTGTTCCGAGGGTTTGCCGGTGAAGTGGAATCGTTTCTTTGGCACGGACTCCGCCGAGCACATCAGGGAGATGGGTCTCTCCAGCTTCGGGTTGCAATGCCTCGTTCCTTATTAGTCATTGGCACATCCACTAGGACGGAGGTGCTGCCCATAGCAGGGCTCGGTCTGGATCCGGGGAAGGAACTTTCCAGTAGGAACACGGTCAGAAATAATTTGGAAATTTGACACTGCTCCAAGTCCACCCACAACTGGATCGCCTTGCCTTTCTCTGCCTATCGAGAGCTTTCTACTTCACGTATTTATGGTTCTGCAACGAAGGCCGTTTTCATGTTTTGTTGTTGTTGTTGAATTGACTAATACAGTCTTTAGAAAGATGCTCCGTGTTTGCTCACTTAAGGTTTCTGAAAACATTTGAAAGGACGTTGACCTCTAAGGGTATCTGATCTGATGGAGAGACTCTGTCACTTGTACTGGCGATGGCAGGACACTAATTCATCAGAGCAGGTTTGCGTGAATTTCATTTGTACTAAGAATGTGTCTTTGGAAGGCACGCTGCGAGTTGGGGGAGAGAGAGGCAATCGCAGTTCATATGCTAAACTGGATAAGTGAAAAACACAGTTGATAAAAATTTGCTCTCCTTTTTTGTTTTCAACCTCAAGAACCTTGGATTTGAAGGAAAAATGTAGTATGTTATTTAGACATTCCAGTGCTTGCTGTTTGAATGTACTGTATTAGTCCGAGCATTTCCTGCATGACTCATTAGTTCTTGTGCCACAATATTTCATTCATTTTGCAATCAACTACAAAAGCATAACATTTTCAGAACAAAGCAATTTAAAGAAAGTGCAAGTTTCCTGAACTTATTTCCTTGGTTAGACATACAGGGTGGGAGCAGAAGTAGGTTTACAGTTGTGAATGTGTGAAAAGAGTTTATTCTTGTATTATTATTTACTAATTATTATATTTCCCATACAGACTATTATATAAACCTACTTTTGTCCCACCCTGTATAATAAAAGCTCCCCTTTTTCTAAACATAAACACACACTACTTTTATTCAATCTACATTTCATCAGAAATACTTTTTTCTTCTCTGTAGGATTAAGCTTTAAAGTAAGCACAAATACAAACATATGAAGTTAGGGAGAAACTTTCTTTTCATTAAGATTGGCATCTGTTTACATTTTTAAAAATATATATATATATTTTGATTTCTAAAGGAAGGCAGAGAGAGAAACATCAATGATGAGAGATAATCACTGATGGGCTGCCTCCTGCACGCCCCACACCGGGAGCCCATAACTCAGGCTTGTGCCCTGACTGGGAATTGCACTGTGACCTCCTGGGTCATAGGTCCATGCTCAACTGCTGAGCCATTTTTACGTTTTTAATGCTTAGAAAATATTTATACAGTGCATGAAATTATGTGCTTTCTGAGTGCATGTAAGAGCTTTGGTTTATGTTTGGAATTTGGAAACCAGTTCATGTGACCCAACATTTGAGCATATCCCCTGGCTCAGTCATGTAGACCTAATTTGGATGACTTTCAGATACTCGGTTTGAAGTACTATTATTTACGTGTTAGTCTTGATAAATTGCTTCTCTTTGGGAATTTCTGTTTTTTTTTTTTTTTTTTGCATTTCAGAATGCTTTTTAGTTATTGATCTTATTTTAAAAATTCTAATCCTTACCTTTTATTGCTTAATCTTGCCTTCAATTTTGTAAACAAATCCCTTCTTAAATAGTGCAGTTAAGGGAGAGATCAACCAAAGGACTTGTATGCATGCATATAAGCCTAACCAATGGACACAGACAACAGGCGGGTGAGGGCAGGAGTGGGGGGTGGAGGGAATGGGGTGATAAGAAAGCATATGTAATACCTTAATCAATAAAGAAAAAAAAATAGTGCAGTTAAAATAATGGTCCTTTCTGTCATTTGCAAAAGGGGTTCTGTACGACTGGCTGATGCCATGCTTATTTATAGAAGCAAACAAAGATCAGTTATTCAGTGTTTGTTTTTCTCTGCTCCCACACTTATCACTTTTTCTCTAATTACTCTTCAAAAGAAGGTACTGAAAAATAATGTAATATGTAGCTAACACTCCAATACCTGTACATTTTTTGTTCCTTAATCGGTTTAACCTTCGGAAGGAGTAGCTGATATAAAGATTCAATTGATTTTTATTTTCCTTATTTCTTTTTGTTTACTTATTTATTTCCTTATATAAAGTATTTGTAAAGCCTATTTCTTTATAGGCCAAATAAATACATTAAGGCAATACCTTAAGAATTTAGGAGAAATATTATCGAGGAACAATATTTTTTTTCTTGCATAAATTATCTGAGTTACTGGTAAACATTCATTAAATTTTCTAGATAAATGCCCAATAAAATCTTTCCAGTGTCACATACTGAGTGATATGATTTAGATTATAATTCTGTACTTTTTTTTTTATCTAAACCTTAGACTATTTGGGTATTATTCCACTATTCTTTATTGATTCCCAAAGACAAATACATACTTTTGTTTTTTAATATAAGAGAAAATATTTTTCCAGTGGTGAATTCTACTTGGGATCCATAATTGATGAAAATAAAATTTCTATAGCTTTCCCTTATGGCTGATAAACAGAAGAAAGTGCTACCAAGTATTATATATTAAATTCCAGAACTGCAGCTATTTATGTTAGTAACAGTTTTGGAGCTACTAAAATATTTGAACTTTTTTTATGAAGGACACAGTAAAATTGATGAATAAATGAAACCTGCATTTGATCTCAAAGCCCCACTTCAACAAACAGTTATAAAGACATAGATTCCTAGAAGAGGCTTTAGAGTTTCTGTTCCGATGTGTTCAGTTACATCTTAGGAAAGTGAGGTCCAAAAAGGTGAGCCAGCTTTTGCAGGGTTAGTTTGGAAAGTTGGTGGAAGACCTGTATCCCTAAACTCACCAGATTGATGCAGCGGAGTACAAAGCACTGTCTGTAAGACCGCTCACTGGGGTATAGGAAGGGAATACCGGCATTCCTCTTCATTCGTTATGTAAACTTTTCGTATATGTTATAATGAACATGATATTAATACAGCAGTATGTATGTGTAACTTAAAAGTAATGTATGAATGTACTGTGTTGGGAATGCATCCTAACGCTTTTTTGGTGATAGCCATGTATAATCAAAT